GGCTATGATAGAATCTTTAGTTCTGTCACTGATTCGCACTTATGCCCCATGTTGTACTGCACTGCTTGCAAATTTGCATCACAATTTAGCTATTTATGGCTGTTTGGCTGTTTTTGCTAATATTCTAATATTTTGTCACAGTCAAAGTGTTGTTCTATTTTTTTTCTATCATTTTATTTCTATTTGTAACAAAAAAAACTTTTGAGTTAATTTGTCTGATTAATGGGTATAATAAATATACATATACAGTGGTGCCTCATATAACGTACTTCTGTTCCAGGTGCACGTCCGTTAAGTGAAAAGTCCGTTATACGAAACTCATTTTCCCATTGAAATACGTGTTAAAACATATAATTCATTCCGCAGCATAAAATAACCGTACTGTACTATAAAAAAATGAAAATGGAGCAGTCACCAATTATGCCGGATAGTCAAATGTTGTGAGGAGGAGGTGGAGGAACACTTTCTTCACACACAAATACAGATATAACTTTTTACACATTGCAGCAGGTTTCTTTTTATTGTTTTTTAATCAGAGTCATATTCAGGAGAGGCTACCGTTGCTTGCAGGGTCAACTCCTCTTGTTCCATCCTTTGTTATTTGGCAGCTGGCTTCTTGAAAATCATGTCCAGGGTGGTCTGTTTCTCTCTTTTTCAACATTTGTCGGAAATGACAGGCAAGGGTGTCATTGTAGAGATCCTGTTGGCCTCAGCTCTGTTTGGATAATAAGTGTTGGTAAATTCCTGAACCTCTCCCCATTTGACAAGGAAGTTTTTGTCAACTCACTCCTGATGATGTCTTGCTTTGTTTCAATTGAAATCACCTTTCTGTTTTTTAGAAGCCATGATTTGCTCAACACTTGAATAAATGTAAATACCCTGCACTGAGGTGATGTGCATACATAATAAACAAGGGAGCAAGCTGAATCCCAACGGAAGCTCTGTACTTCAGATATACTAATAATATATTCTAATAATACTAATATATCATAAAAATAGCAGATTGTCATTGGCAATGGCAAAAGAGTGGAAACATCATTCGCACTTGTGCAGAGAAAGTCAGTTGTTCGCCTCATGTAACTGCCAAACGGAAAGTCCATTGTTCGCAGCCAGTCCATTGCTCGAGTCACGTAACAGCCAAACAGAAAGTTCGTTGTTCACAGCGTCCATTATTTGAGGCATACGTTATATGAGGCACCACTGTACATTGTTTTTGTAATGTCGAAAAAAGTTTTGTACTCTGTGTTATTCATGAGAAAATGTACACTAAACTTTCAGTTAGGTGATTATTCTAATTTTTTGTGTAGGAGTCGTCGTTGTTACAGTTAGTGAAAATGAAATCAACTACATTTTCTTAAATTGAGAATTTCCATTTTTTATTTTATATTATGATTCTATATAAAAATCAAACTTTTATTTGAAACATTTTTTTCAAAAGATACACTTATAAGTCATGAACATTTGCACTTTTATACAATGCCTCCCCAGGTACAGTACATTTCCAACAGAGAAGTAACTTATGCATTCAGGAGAATGGAGATATCTTTGAATACTGTTTTTGCAATAAGAGAAACCATAGGCAAGGAAGTCACATTAAGTAAGCACTCTGCAAAAAGTTAAATTCTGTCAATACATTTTTCATTCTAATTAAAGATGACCAGTTACCTGAGGACAGATTTTAAAGATCAATCAAAATCAATGTCTTTTCTTTATCATAAGCTTAATTTCTTTAGCATACCATAGCAAGAATTTTTTATTAGTTCATTATTTCAAGAAAAAAACGATTCTATCAAGTATTAATTTCCTAATGATTTTTCTTCCTATTTTCAATGAATTTAACACATTTAGACTTGTGTTATGGCAGCCAAATAAAAGTTCAAACTCTTATTAGAAGTTATAAGTGTATCTTTTAGTTAGAAAAAGGTTTCAGATAAAAGTTTGTGATGTAGAATCATTACATGCAATAAAAAACATGGATGGTTTCCAATTAAGAAATTGTAGTTGATCTTGTTTTCAGATTTTTTGTAGATGGCACTACATGTCATCTACAACAAAATTGAAAATATCAAAAACAAAATATTTCATTTGTTCGTTTGGCTTAAAAGTTTGTTCTACGTAAATTAGATGTAGAATAAATATCCTTATTTAATTAAATTTCACAAAAATTTATTGAAAAGTTTTAAGTTTGAAAGTAGAATTTTGTACTGTGAAAGTTCAATTGTACATTGATCAGGAATGTAGCCAGAAATTTTTGTGTGGAACACCCATGGGAAAACTATGATGCTGCAGGGAAAGGTGCTTTCAGATCAGTGTAAATTTAAGTCAATTTTGCAATTTTTGTTTATATAAACATGTATCCTAGTCAAGCAATGTATAGAATAGAATTGATATATGATTATGAAGACATAAGAGCACCTTTAATAACAAATTAAACTACAGCAAATATTTCAGTCTAATGCACCTATTCTTCTTATATATCCAGTGATCAATTGCCTTTTGAAAATTACTGTACAGGTTGCTCTTCTACAATAATTTTTTTAATTATGCTGCAATTTGCAAAAATTGTAGATCTGTCCCTCTGTTTTTCCTTAATCTGAAGAATAGAGTTAGATGAAATTAGAGACCAGATATGGAAACCTTAGGGTAGGCATGGTCAACATATGGCTCCTTTAATGAATTTATGTGGCCCGCGATCAATCTTTCAATATTAGCTACTCAAGTCCAAACAACTTGATAAAAAATTGACATCTAAAAAAAAAGTCAACAACTCACTGTACATTTAGAGTTAACCCTCCATTACAAATCTCGTAAGTACAGCGTAGAATGTTGATAAAGCATGATAATGTGAAAAATGTATCTGTAATCTCTATCTATAATTCAGTCTCTACGGGGTGACACCACAATGAGAACTTGCCCCACCTCAAAATCTTCTTAGGGCAGCCTCTGGTTCGGCCCGTGGAAAAAGTTTTCTTTCCAATTCAGCCCGGGGGCAAAAACCGTTGGCCACCCCTATTTTAGGGGCAGAAGACCTCAATTTAACTATATATGAACTTCCGATGCAAACCAGAAGTCATGTTATTTCAGTTTGAAACTTTTCACCTGAAAGGAGTTAGATAGATGACTTGCACAACTCTATTGTTAAAGGAAAAGTATGATGTATAGGGGTAAGACACTACAGTACTAATTTGAGGTGGAAAGCATATATTTTAAATTAAATAAATTAAAAATACGATTGCAGTCCAGCATTGTGATGATGTCACAATAAATAATTGCTCATTCTATTATACAGTATTTTTAATTATATATTTTATTACAGTAGATCCCCCTGTAACATGGTAGATACGTTCCGTGTTATATGAATTCCGTGTTGTACGAGTCACTTAAATACATGAGCCAATCACAGCCCGGCACACGTGCAGTTTAGCAGCTACGGATGTTTGAAAGGTTTTCTTCCATAAAATTAATTGATTCTAGACTAATTTGACTCAACATTTCCAAATCACGTATAATGTTTTGGGAATAATCCATATAAACTATGCTATAAATAAATATATTGTAGGATTACTTACCAAGTGCACACCATTCGAAGACACCATTGCTTAAATTTGTTTTTGTCATGGAGTGGCTCATCGAACGGCAGGCGCGTGTTTCCAGATAAGTTATTTTTCTGTGAAAAATTTGCTGAACTTTGGAGACATCATCAATATAAATATAATTTTTATGGCTGTTAAATAATAAATGATTGTTTTTAGTAGGTCCACTGCTTGTTTAAACTCAACGGTTTGTGCAATGTCCACTATTGGTCCAGATTCGACCAATCCTGTCGCGACACGAGTCAGCAGTGACGTTTTACTGTATTATACGTGTCTCTTTTAGTGTGTTTTATACATATACGGTCACAATTTTTTCGCCGTGTTATACGAATCCATATTATATGAACCCGTGTTATAGGGGTCTACTGTACTTATATGCTTATTTTTAAAATATACTATATATATAGACTGTGTGTGTGTGTGTGTGTGTGTTCGTGTGTACACATGTATATGATTTGTTTGCACAAAACAATTATTAAAGAAATTTGTGCCATTTTGTATCATTACAAACTTTGAAGTTATTTTGGTGGACTTTGGGTAAACATCTCTGTAATGGTCTTAATGTTTTTATTTGATAATATGGAAGATGATTTTTGTTGTCTTTTGAGTTTGGTATTGCATGTCATTCATGTTGACTCCTCTACTAACACTTTGACTTCATCAAGAAGCCTCAGATCTCATAATGAGATGCAGTTTGGCTCTGTCTTGTAACATTTTAGTCACTGAAATAAAAAGTAAACCATGGAATTTTATGCCATTTTTATTATTTATTTAGGAAAATTCAAACTTATTAGAACTATTGTAAGTTTGTTAGACGGTGACTTTTTAAAGTTGTATTGTATATTTTCATCATTTGTATAATAAAAAAAGCAATGCAACGTTAAAAGTAGTACCAAATATTTAATAATATATTAGTACATTTTTGCCTAAGGTAACTGGACACTCTTTTTGTTCATATTCAAAATACAAGAATTAATGAAGTCAAGTAGAATATGTTTAAAATTCAAAATTTGTTCCATATTTTAAAGTTTCTGATACAATAAAAACATGAATAATTTTTGAATCAACAAAAATATACATTTTGATTGATCAATTGTCAGTTGAGAGACAAAATACAAATTAGTGCTTTAATAATTTTAATACTTAATTTTATTGTAAAAACTAATTATTAAATTAAATATTGTTCATTTTATTATGAATGAATTGTTTTAGTTATTATTGTCTAGGTTTGTAAGATTGGATTTAAGTATATTATTAAAACTTTAGTATGTATATGTTTATCTTTATTTTTAGTAAGTTGATCTTGTTTTTTAAAAATATGTGCATATTTTAATCTTTTAGAATATATATTAAAAGAAGTATTGGTATTGTAAGTATTTAATGACATGCACAATATACATTTTTCAGCATATCTACCACCAACCATCATGCTTCCTCCCAGGCGATTGCAAACATTGTTATGTCAAGCTGTTGAATTACAAAGGGATCGTTGTCCTTATCATATATCAAAACCAGGCATTGGTATTGAGAATATCTCTCTCCTCATCGATCATGTATGTAGCAGGTAAATAAAATTTCATGTTTATAATAATTTATTAAATTGCAATTTCCTGATAACTTTTTTTTAATGTAAAATTCAGAGAACAGTTTCCTACTGAAACATTACAGATTTTAAATGATCATTGTGATGAGGTATGGTTTTGTAAGTTTTCTAATGATGGCACAAAATTAGCAACAGGATCCAAAGATAGTACAGTTATAATTTGGGATGTAGATCCAGTAAGTATATATTTTTTTTTAATATATTTCTAAACTAAGCTATGAACTAAAACTATATTCAGGATTATTTGAAATTAATGATTAGTAGATAGATTATTAATTGAGATACATTACACACAGTCATACCATGTTGTTCAAATTAATGCATTCCTAAATGTTGAGACTTCAATTATTTATTAAAGGATATTTTTGTAGGCAACAATGCCATCAATATAGTAACTATTAGGAATTATATATAAACTGAAGTTTCTTTTTAATATGCAGTAGACTGCAATGAAAATATTGTAATAATGATGTGTGTTGATGTTAAAATAATAGTATTATATAAAAGCACAATAATGAAAATAAACAAGATAATGAACCTATTGTAATGCACTTTTAAGAATAAGACCTTAAGATTGCACTGAAATTTTGTAATAAAAGTTTTTAAACTCTACAACTATGTTAGAACACAGAAACAAAGACATTGAGAACAGTAAAATTGCTTTCCACTTTTATCAGTACAATTTTTAATTTTTTACTTTGAAATGATCCACTATTACAATTTAATTTAGATATCATGATAAATGATAAAAGAATCATTTGTTGTAGCAGGAATTCAAATAGTTTGAATACCAGACTGTGTATTATTATTATTTAACAAAACTTACTTCAAACTTACTACAAAACTTACTTTTTTCCTTATTATGGTAAATATTTAACAAGACATTACAGTTAAGTCACTACTATATTCAAATATGTTGTAACCATGGGCATCCACAGAAAATTTGCTCCCTATGGAAAAGCTTGGAGACAAATATTTACATCAACAAATTTTATTTAAGTATTTACTTTTTTGAGGTTTTGGCCTGTCTTAAAAAAGTGTCCCATGGTTGAGGGTGTAAAATTACAAATTTCACTCACTTCTACAATTATAATTTGTAGAATATGCAAAAAGAAAAAAAAAAGAAATAATAATAATAATAATAATAATAATGGAGTTACAAAGTACATACAAATAGGAAAAAAATATATGCTGATTTACTGTTTTTGTTTGTGATTATAAATTTATTTCAAATATTTTTATTATTATTATTAGTATTTTTATTTTGATTTCATAACAACCCAGAAACCACTTTGGACAAAAAGTATTTTGCAGTCCTAGCATGAAAAACACATAATCAGGGTCCATACTCAAATGATTGTAAGTGCACATAACAAGACATCATCTACTTATTGCTTCACTAAAATTGAGATGGCAACTGTGACAAGTGACTAACCAAATTTATATGTTCAGATTCTGAAATATGGCTCATTGTTTAAAGACTAGTTTGTGAGTAAAGGCATGCACATAATCTGTAAAATATTACTGTACTGTACATGATAAGTTTGAAGCTTGTTACAATTCCTTTGTTACAAACATCAGTGGCATCAAACATGTAATAGGCAAAGCATTCTTTTTTGAATCAACATGTATTTATCATATTTACATACTCACCATAAACTATGCTTTTCCTTCTCTTGGAGACATTGCACTGTAGTGCCTAGCATCATCTCAAGGCATACTGGTTGCAGAACACTGCTGTAAACTGTTGAACAATTTTTTTGAAAATAATAAATCTTTATAAAGATCCTCATTGAACATATCAAATTTCACTTGTTTTTTAATTTTTGTAATATATTTTCTTCAAAAGGCATTTTATTGTAAATAATGCATTCCACAACACATTTAAAATATTAATACCTGTTTATTTACACAAAAGACTTTACAACTATCAAAGCAAATTATTGTAGGAGAGGCTACATGATTTTGAGAGAGAGTTTACAATTAATCACTAGTTGATTTTGTTAAATCCTTGATGATCTGACACTTGGCCAGCTGGGTCGAAGGAGAATAGATAGATATGCCCTGGATGGGTATGATGTTAGGTGCCCATCTAGGGCACATCTATCCATGGGTTTGATGAAGAACCATCTAGTAGTAGGAAAGTTAGGCACTAGCAGGTTGGTGATAGGATGGTATTTGTTGATCCATCTGGAATAGGTAGGTTAGGCACTAGGTCTGATAATAGGTGATATCCTTGCTAGCTATTGGCAGCACAGAACAGGATAATGGAGAAGCATGGCGGTGAATCTCTTTGGTTCACGATGAAGTGGGTAATGAACTCTTCGTTCACCTAGGGACAAAAGCAAACTCTGCTGTCATCATCAATTTCTTCTTTTATTTGGGGATCCTCCCCCTAAATTCTCATGCCCATTTTGGTAATGTTGATGGCTAATCCAATAGCAAATTTTGATGTCAAGTTCTTGATACATAGTCAAAAGTGACACATTCAGAAGATGTGCCATCTCTGGACAAGGAAGCAAATCCATGGGAAATAGAAAATCCACTTCTTGCTATCTGTCGAGAGTTGAAAAATTTAACACTTACGTAGGAAATTTAGATAGAAATTTTAACTGATTTTTCCGTCTAATGGCGAGATTATTATTAATCGTCGAAGACAAGTCTGTCCAAAAGGGACCACCATTTATTTTGTATTCCAGACTTTACACATACACATCTATGGCGACAGGCCTTCCTTTTTAGGCTTCATGCCGCCAGAGGTAAAAAAAGCCGTTTAAAAAACACAAACATACAATTAAAAAGAATTGGTGATACACAGATGTCTTACTTTTCATCCATCTGGCCAATGGGGTGGTTCTGCTTTATATCTACTAAAACAAGGCACTAGGTCTGATAATAGGTGATATCTTTGGTAGCTATTGGCAGCATAGAACAGAATAATGGAGGAGCATGGCAGAATCTCTTTGGTTCACGATGAAGTGAGTAATGAACTTTGTTCACCCAGGGACAAAAGCAAACTCTGCTGTCATCATCAATTTCATCAATCATCAATTAGATGTGTAGGTGTAAAGTCTGGAATACAAAATAAATGGTGGTTCCTTTTGGACAGACTTGTCTTTGATGAGTAATAATAATCTCGCCATCAGATGGAAAAATCAACAAAAAGAAATTTTAAATGTACCGTCGCCAGCAGGGGGCAGCTTCAAAAAATCTATATATTCCAGCACTTGTTTTAGTACATATAAAGCAGAACCACCCCATTGGCCAGATGGATGAAGAGTAAGACGTCTGTGTGTCACCGATTCCTTTTAATTGTATGTTTGTGTTTTTTAAACAGCTTTTTTTACCTCTGGCGGCATGAAGCCTAAAAAGGAAGGCCTGTCGCCATAGATGTGTATGTGTAAAGTCTGGAATACAAAATAAATGGTGGTCCCTTTTGGACAGATGTCTTTGATGATTAAAGATATTTTAACCTTTTTAAATAAAATTTCTCTACCTAGCTCAGGCTCACATAAACGATAATGATTAAATTATCTTAAATGTTTCAATTACAAAAGTTCATTTTTATAAAAATTGTATATGCTTAAAAATTGTTATGTGATATATTACATTACCTGTGTGAAATCCACGATTTTTATGCTGATGTTGGAAAAATCTTTGTAAACAACTTTGAAAAAAACACTCTTGGTAAGAATTATATTGGAGGTCACTGATTGTTTTCACACTTAGGTGGGAAAGTTGACACTTAGTTGTTAGGAATGCACCGTTAGTGTCAATAAAAGTCGATCACGTAATTCATTTCTCATGAAGTCAAAAGCTTGAGTCCTCGGAAGCTCTGGGCGACCAAAGGAAGTTACACTTATAGCTTCCTTTGGTCCTTTGGTGCATCTTGTCTCCATACCCTGGACATACGACAGAACTTCCATGAATATCGCCATTCTACTGTTCCTGTGTCGATTACGATTCATTCGGCTCCTTCAACGAACACATATTAGACATATCCTCATAGAGGAATTTTTTTGAGCTTTGTGAACTCCCTCTCTCTCAGACTAGCTGTTAGAGCGACCCTTTTGTATAGTGAACTTATTTAACCGCATTTAACCTATGTATCCTAGTTTAGATATATATAATAAATGCTTGTTTAGTTTGTTAAATCTGTCTCCTGTCTCTAAAGGACACCTGCCGACTTACCGACGCACTCCCCACTCACTTTTTGCCCTCCTAAGCCATCCGAGAACGGGTTTTGCCAGCCCGTGCAGTGTAAGTGGTCAGAAGGGATTAACCCCTGTGACCCTCTGCTAATCTCACACCTGTGTCGCAATTTCCTCCATTCTGAATCCAACCACCCAAGCACACAGCTGCTCATGTGAAGTAACAACTAATAGCTAAACAGTTTTTTGTCTTCCCTAAAGATGCAGTGGTATCAGTCCTGATGTAAGCATTGCAGACAATGTACTGACACTTTGGTCAAGTGGTGTAGAACTTTGTCATTTGGTTAAGTGGTCAAGTGGTGTTGAACTTTGGTCAAGTGGTGTAGAACTTTGACAATGTAGACACTTTGGTCAAGTGGAGGTCAAGTGGTGTAGAAGATAATAGGTAGTAGAAGATGATAATAGAAGAAATAGGGGCACTTCGTGCATTTTCACATTTTGTCTTGCTTAATTTTATTTTTAAAAATATTTAAGAAAATGTCTTCTATTATTTGCTTTGACACAGATTGTCAAATGTGCACTTTCTGAAAACTTAAATTGTTTATTAAGGACTTATTTTAACGTAAGAAATTAAGACTGCAAACTTTATGTAAATTAAAAAGAAATTTAAGTTATATATATATATAAAATTTGATCATATCAAATAGTAAATTTTATGAAAAGCATGATCACATTAAATAAATATATATACTTGCCTATATTAGACAAGAATTAAAATTTTTTTTAAGATTGCAAAATTTTATTTGTGCATTATTTTTGTAAAACTAATTCCTCCAAATTTTTATTTTTCTCAAAAATATTTTCTTTAGAAATTTACATTGATAATTTTGTTGCTTTAAATTTAATCTTGACGTAATAGTTGTTTCTTCAAGTTACTCTAAAATCAAATTTTTAGTACAGACTGTTCCATACAACAGTTGTCATTTTCATAACTGTTAGTATGTCTTATCTCAAATATATTATTATTATTTTTTTAAATAGATATTACAGATTGTATTTATGTATGCATATTTAAACATCATATTAGTTCCAAACTTTAAATCATTGAAGTTTGAATTAAAAATGTGATGATTTTTATTTAAAAAAAAAAAAAAATTTTGTTTTGAAAATGTTGCCTTATTGATAAACATTTTAATTTTTGATTACTAAGATATAAGTGTTTTTTTTTTTTTTTAAGGAAACACTAGAAGTCCATCATAAAAGACTGTTTGAAGGCCATTCATATGGAATATCATATCTTTGTTGGAGTCCAGATGACACTTATCTTATTGCTTGTGGCTCTGATGATTGTTCAGATTTATGGGTTTGGAATGTAGAAGTAAGTATTTGTTTTATCAAGTAAGTTAATTTTTTTATCAAATCCCTTCATTTTATTGTTTTAAATATTCTTTTAGATGTTTATAAAGATTGAGGATTTTTTTTTTTAATAAATATTTTTCTTTTTAAAAAATTTCAAATATTGCATTTTTTTTTTTTTTTTACATTTTGAACTAAAAAGTTAATAATTTGAAGTTTAGACTATTTACAAAAAACCAAATTAACTTTAACTCAAAAGTTAATTTGACTTTTTGTAAATAGTCTAAACTTCGAATTATGAAGAAATACATCCTGAGTTATCACAAATATTGTAAAAAGTTAATGTTTATATAATTTAAAGAAAAAATGAAGCATTTGTATATAAAATTTATTATTAATACAGTAATACCTTGACTTACACTACCCCGACTTATGTGAACCTGGAGTTACGCGATTTTCAAATCTCGTCGATTCGTCTTTTGTTTGAGCGCCACGCAACTCTTGATTACTCACTCCCCCACACTATTGTTCAGCTTAAGTGTTCGGATGTGTCGCACGGAATCGTCGCATAGCTACAATTTATTTTTGTGTTATTTATTTCTGTGTTTGTTATATCTACGGAGACTTGAGAGACTCTATGTGGTGATTTCTTGTAACCGTGAACGAATCAAAAGACGAGATAATATTAACGAGAACATTTATTAGCTTATGTACATCTGACTTGGATTTTACACAAATTGCGAAATTATACCTCGACTTACGTGAATTTGACTTACACGGTTATCGCTCGGTCCCACCTATTGCATAAGTTCGGGGTATCACTGTATATTAGAGCATATATATATTTGTGTGAACATTTGTTTTCTCCATTATACATGATATAATAATACCAGTTTATATTGTAATATTCAGTTCATAATAGTTAACAACTTCATTTTTATACAATCCATTTAAAAAAGTTATAGCATAAATGGTTTGACTTTGGCTTTCTTATGTGTAAGAGTAGATCAGTTTGTTAGTTTGGTATTGATTTTAACATATGCTGTATAGTGACAGCAGCATTGTCTTGTGTTGTTAGCAAAATAATATAAACATATATTGGGAAGGTTTAAATATATCATGCAGTTTATTTTCATAACTATATTTTTGAACTATTTAAACCATATGTTGTTAATAAACTTTGCTGCACTAATAATGCAAAGTAAAGAGACAGGATTAAATTCTTTTTACTTATTAAGATATTAATTTGAGAGTCAAGATATTTAATACATAAAGCTGCAAATTAAATCATATTTCAAGTGTTTGAGATGCCCATGTATAAAATCCAGTGTGATACTTATGGTCAGGCTAAATTTATAGACAGTCTGGCAAATAGTTTTATTATTCAGTAGACATCATTTAGATAATTTGTTACAATTACCAAAATTATTTCAAAATAGAGGCTGTTTTGATTACTTAGATGTTTCATTTCAATTACAGATAACCTCTTAGTGGTGAATTAAGATTTCTTCTGTAACCATTTTCAAAGATTACAAAATTAAATGCATAGAAGTATCACAGACATGTCTTCTTTATTTTGAATGTCCTTTACACACTTTGGGAATAAATGGTCCTTATGGCAGAGTCGACTTTCCTTTTATAGGCTACTTTTCCTGCCTCAATGTGTAAAAATGGTAAAAAATTTTCAAAGATATTGAACAACTCAAAAATATTAATCATTGAAGCATCTTACAAAACTTGCAGATTTCACTTAAACACTGTTATTGGTTAAATTATGAGTGAAAAATTGAACAGAAATAGAGAAGTTAAAATTTTAAAATTTTTTTTCACTCTAATTTCTGCCAAACCAATATATAAAACTCAAATTGCATAACTTGGTTTTTCTGCTTCAGCTGTATTTTCAAGTAATATAGAACCTAGGCTTTAATTTTTCGTTTTTCAATATTTATCTAACTTGTGCTACTTTTAAAAACTTTATCAACATTCTTCATGATATACATAAAATTTAAGAGCATAAATTATTTAATTATAATTTATTTTTGTAGTAATTTAGTACCATTATCCATGGATTAGATTCACTTACAAGAACATATAATATTCAAAACTGAATAAAATTTAGCTGCAGATCTAATCTAAGAGGAAAACTTGTGTACCTTTAATGTCTCCTGGGATGATTGATGCTCCCTATTTCTGAATTTTTATATGAAAAAACTATAAAATATTTGAAAATATAAAATAATATATAAACTGAAAACTAAAAATTGGTATTGTAATGTATATTTTTAGTTTCTCGTTACTTTTATGTATTTTCACACTTTGTTCTCCAAAAGAGCTTACCATTGTGAACAAAACATTATTTATTTATTTATTTTTTCTTGAACATCAATGATCAATGTATGTATGTCATGTAAGTCTGAAAGATGAGAAAAAAAAATGCAATGTTTGTGATTATTTTCAACATTAAAAAATATTTTGACAAATTTTAAGATTTAGCTCTTAATTTTAGAACAGTCAAATGAATTTGATTTTCACAATTTGTATCCAAGAGTAATCATTACTTTAAAATATATAAATTACATAGATGACATTTATTTTTATATCCTTAAAAGAAACATATTTTATTTCACTACAATTTAGCCTATTTCATTAGTATGCTTGCTTTTATTGAATTGATACTAAAGTTTCTGGATGTTTTTAGATCTCTGTAGAATATTCAAAATTGTTCTTCAAAAGATGCCATCTAGAAGTTCCTTGCAAATGTAAATAAAGGATGTTGAGGTACACAAACATAAGTGAAAAGATATTCTGTGTACTGATGACAACTTTTTAAATGTCAAGTTTGCCAACACTTTCTTTTTGACCAAATTTTCACATTTACACATTATGATCATAAGTTTTGTATAAAAGCAGCTGAATTTTATCACCATATGGTGCAATTTTTTGGCAAGAATATTGTTTCCAAGTCTACAATTTATGATTGGTTCAGTAAATTTAATGCTGGGCAATATGAAGTAGAAGGTAAGCCATGCTCAGGAAAGACTTTCATCCTATTGGATGATGATCTTCAGCAACTGGTAGAATCAACTTATGTCTGATCATACAAGAAATGAGCAAGACACTTGATTGTGCCTAATCGTAGTTTGTCCACAGATAAACATTGTGTGCTTTCATTATAACAAAGGACCACATGTAACAAGGTTGGTGTGGCAGAAGCTGCTTGATCTCAGCTGGGAGGTTCTCCCTCGCCACCCACACACCCAAACATTGCACCATCCTGACTACCGCCTCTTCTTGCAACACTTCTTGGATGGAAAGCAGTTTGCTGATGATTAGACAAAAATCACACTTGTAGAATTCTTAGGGTCAAAACAGCTAGTTTTATTCATCAGGAATCCATGTTCAGTGCAATCAATGGAAGAAGGTGCTTGAATGTAGTAATTTTTTTGAATATACTGTACTGTATTTTTGAAATAAATGTTGTACTATAAAACTCTAGAAGATTCCAGAAACTTTGGCATCAACACAATAAATTATGAAAAGAATGTAAGCATTATTAAAACATCAATTTCATAAACAAAATTTTTGTAGTTTGTGAAATTGTTAGAATTAAATTCCAAAAATAAAATGTTCTTACAATTGTTTATAGTAGAGATTTTTGTTGTTTCACATATTTCATTATATGCAGTTTTATTGAGTTTTCAAATCTTTGCTGACTGACTTCTGTTTCCAGAAATGTGTATTTTCTTTCAAAAACTTATATATATATATGTTNCTCTGCTGTCATCATCAATTTCTTCTTTTATTTGGGGATCCTCCCCCTAAATTCTCATGCCCATCTTGGTAATGTTGATGGCTAATCCAATAGCAAATTTTGATGTCAAGTTCTTGATACATAGTCAAAAGTGACACATTCAGAAGATGTGCCATCTCTGGACAAGGAAGCAAATCCATGGGAAATAGAAAATCCACTTCTTGCTATCTGTCGAGAGTTGAAAAATTTAACACTTACGTAGGAAATTTAGATAGAAATTTTAACTGATTTTTCCGTCTAATGGCGAGATTATTATTAATCGTCGAAGACAAGTCTGTCCAAAAGGGACCACCATTTATTTTGTATTCCAGACTTTACACATACACATCTATGGCGACAGGCCTTCCTTTTTAGGCTTCATGCCGCCAGAGGTAAAAAAAGCCGTTTAAAAAACACAAACATACAATTAAAAAGAATTGGTGATACACAGATGTCTTACTTTTCATCCATCTGGCCAATGGGGTGGTTCTGCTTTATATCTACTAAAACAAGGCACTAGGTCTGATAATAGGTGATATCTTTGGTAGCTATTGGCAGCATAGAACAGAATAATGGAGGAGCATGGCAGAATCTCTTTGGTTCACGATGAAGTGAGTAATGAACTTTGTTCACCCAGGGACAAAAGCAAACTCTGCTGTCATCATCAATTTCATCAATCATCAATTAGATGTGTAGGTGTAAAGTCTGGAATACAAAATAAATGGTGGTTCCTTTTGGACAGACTTGTCTTTGATGAGTAATAATAATCTCGCCATCAGATGGAAAAATCAACAAAAAGAAATTTTAAATGTACCGTCGCCAGCAGGGGGCAGCTTCAAAAAATCTATATATTCCAGCACTTGTTTTAGTACATATAAAGCAGAACCACCCCATTGGCCAGATGGATGAAGAGTAAGACGTCTGTGTGTCACCGATTCCTTTTAATTGTATGTTTGTGTTTTTTAAACAGCTTTTTTTACCTCTGGCGGCATGAAGCCTAAAAAGGAAGGCCTGTCGCCATAGATGTGTATGTGTAAAGTCTGGAATACAAAATAAATGGTGGTCCCTTTTGGACAGATGTCTTTGATGATTAAAGATATTTTAACCTTTTTAAATAAAATTTCTCTACCTAGCTCAGGCTCACATAAACGATAATGATTAAATTATCTTAAATGTTTCAATTACAAAAGTTCATTTTTATAAAAATTGTATATGCTTAAAAATTGTTATGT